AACCCACACTCACACACACACTAACTCACACTCACTAACACACTCACTCACTAACCCACACTCACACACACACTAACTCACACTCACTAACACACTCACTCACTAACTCATACTCACACTCACTAATGCACACTTACACTCACTAACTCACACTCACACTTACACTCACTACCTCACACTCACTAACACACTCATTAACTCACACTCACACTCACTAACACACTCACACCCACTAACACACTCACACCCACTAACACACTCACGCACACATGCACATGAAAATTTTCACTTGGGTCCAAACTAGGGGAAGGAGAGTGCGTTTTTTCTTTCTAAGGCCAGCTTATCTTAAAGCCTGTGTACATCACTACACATATATACATAAGCATACACATATACAACAGGTGCACACAAAAACACAAATACATACACATATAACCTCATACTGACAAACATCTTTAAATCTGACATCAAATCAGCCTATGCCTCAAAAGTTTCTCCAGATGGGTAATCTTTATATAAGTCGCCCCACTGCACTTTTTGCTCTAACGTCAAATTCATTTTCAAAAGCATAAGATTTATCAATATATACATCTAAGATATGAAATTATAGTGGTTACGTAAATATATTTTCAAGAATTAATAATTTTTATATTTGATATTTGAGGTGAAGAAATTTTGTGAAATGGTTAATGATATGCAAATAATTACAAAGAACTACAATATTATTTGAAAAAAAAATTAAGGAGAGCTTGCTTACTGATATTCAGTGTTCCTCATTTTAGTTTTATACAGCAAATGATGAGGTGCTTTACCATTTTTTTTACATTAACAGTGAATTATAATCTATCTTTCATTCAATACATTCATTTTCCACTGACACATACACAAGTACATCCTTTACTCACACTCCTCTCCAATCTTATAACATCACATAGCAGAACATTTATACATCTTTTTGCATTATGAACCATGCCCTACCTACATACAGTAATAGAAGTTTACAATCTAGTTGTCTTTAGTTAAGTACTACATGGACTACTCCCTGGACTGAGTCCACAAAGGGTGAGCAACTCAAAATATTGAAAATGCTTGACTGGAACACTAAACAATTAAAACATGGAGCTATCCAACCTTAGCTGTCAAGTTTTTGTCCAAATCATATCACATCTTATCTGCAAAACACAACTGAAGCATGACCACAGTTGCACCTAAAAACAGCTTCCTGGATTGCTTGTACCAAGTACTTTAAACTTTCACAGATCTTATTACTGGACAAACTGCAAATGGATTACTGCTCCCACTAAAATGTTGTTTAGGCTATTCTTCAACTACTGAACAAAGTTCAAGGAAAAGCCATTCTTCACTGACTCAAGTCTCTTAAGCATCTCACCACAGATAATGAGCTTCAACCATTTCAACCACTGCCTGGGCCTTCTATGAACACCTGATTTATTTTAAAACATCACGTGCAAACCTCACATTCCTTTCTGTTCCACTCGCCTATCCAAACATAACATCAATTTACTTTTTCTTTCCATGGGCTTGGAACTTTCCTCTCAATTGTCTTCCTTCGTCTATTTCCCTGCCTGACCCTTTTTTCGAATCCTGCTTCCCAGATGTTGAAAAGCATATTTCCAAGATAGACACCTATAATCTTTCTCTTGTCTCCTTATTTCTTGATACCTATTCATAAGACAATGCAGGTTTATCTTCCTGATGGTTAAATTCAATAAATGCTCTGTCAATCGAAAGTGATTCAATGCTGTTTAGGCAAGCGAGTTCCATTGCTGACATATATAATATTACTGATAAAACACCAGATGATTTGTTTTCTTTGGTTAGCATTAACCAGTGCCTATCTTTGCCAGGACATAAGTATGGTAATTATAATAAAAACACTATTTCATAGCTTGTCAGCTAAACCTACAACAATGCTTGCTTTATGGGTAAGATTTTTGTGTTTGTGGATGGATACAATGTTAGTAAAGAAGAAAAAAAAAAGGAAAACAGTAGTACAGATAACATTTAAACTAGAAAATAATCAACATAAAATAAAAACAGCTGTAAATCATAAATGAAAAAAGCATAGATATGCACCTACAAATGAACAATAGATATTGTTTACCTTGAGCAGTTCTTCCTGCAGTTTGTTCTTCTCCCTGAGTGCAGAATCCCATTCTGTGATTGCTTTGGTACACTGCTGTTTGAGGCAGTTCTTCTCTCGCACTGCCTCATTACACTCACGCAAAACTTCATCATATTGCTTCTTCAAGCGAGATACTTCTTCCTATGATGTTAGGAGGAAGAATACCATAATTAGTAAAACTATATAAAGAACATAATATGAAGAAGGCATTATTATATAAACATTTTATAAACTAACTTAGCTCTTAAATGAGACACCATTCTATTGTATGATGGGTGATTTAGACAAATTTAAATGAAAAACATCTTAATAATAAAAAAGCTCATGAAATGTCAAGATTTTTCTAACTCATTTTTATCTAACTGTTTTTATTTGAAAGATACTGGTAAAAACAACACATTCTGTTTAAAGACAAAGATAAAGAAAAAAGAAAAAAACACATACTTCTAGGCCAATTAGCAATTCTACGTAAAATACAAAAATAGCACTCTCACCTGTGTGAGTTCCAGTTTAGAAATGTTGTTGGAATGTGAGGCAACAAGATCCGAGTACCTCTTTCTAATTGAGTCATATTCATCCTTGATGGCTTCGTACTTGCGCATGGTGGTCATGTATAGCTGGTTGATGGCCTCTCCTGATCCTTCTTGTGACATAGCTTCCTGGATGGGTTTTTTCCAAGGATGGGGGAAAGGAGGGTTGGTAGGGAAGTAAAGAAGAATAATTTTATTAATCAGCTGTTCTCAGATGAAGAAATGTAGCCCCATTATCATAAATAACCACACAAGATAAACTGGTCGATTTTCTCCCTAGCTAAGCATATTCCTTTCTCAATATCTAGCGCTAGTAACATTCATCAACCATCACTATCATTGTCATGTCATGTCACAGTGTCACATCACTCCAAAATCACAAAAACTATTTAAAATGGAAACACCATTTTTTTTTTATGTATAAATTTTGTTTATTCAAGAGACAAAGGCAATTTATGTAAAAACAAATGAATAACCAAGGAACTAAATAAATACAAAAAATTGTAAAAAGGTGAGAAAATGGTGTGAATCTTTTTGGTTCAAAAATTCATGCCTGGTTTTGAAAAATATGTAACAAAAAAAAAAATCTGTGCTAACCAGTATTTCAAAAAACATCTTAAAAAACAAAAACACAATTTTATTTTTTTACAGTTGTTTAGAGGAACTATTTCATATATACATCTTCATTTTCACATTCATCTGAATCTTTACACAACAGTTACATAATACAGTAGCAATTAAGAGTAGCAGTTACATAAAAAACTAAATTGAGACATACAATACGCTGCAAACATAAAAAAAATCCAAGGGTATGATGTGAAGACTTAGGCAGGCCTAAGAAGGGAACCATCACTTACTATTACCGTCTCCTAAGTGTGGCATCAAAGAAAGACATCCCAATTACAAGTAAATCAACAACAGTTAAACTAAGAAAGACCCCAAAAACTATTGGGCAAGCAAGGCAAACAACATAGCTAATCTTTCTCTTATTCAGCATACTATTTCCTCATCTGATCTACACTGTCCATCTGAACATTATCTACAAAATGCTTCACAAAAATATTGCAACTACATAACAGTGATCTCTGCATCTATTTGAACAAATTCCATAAATATCTATAACCTATGAGGAAAAAAACTAGCTTGTGATCATTAACAATCTGAATACTTTATCACTAGAAGCAATATCAACAAATTAACTATCAAACAAGATTCTAGCTAAAGCAAAGATGCATATAAATATGACAATTAACACTGAACATCCATGTACGCAAGACTGCAGATGAAGAATATAGACATACTATAAATGCTACTTCAGATATCCGAACACTTCAGTCCTGTCAAAGGTGTTCTTCATGCTTAAATTACATGCATCATTCTTTGCAGTTGTATAATGCTCTGTCACAGCAATATAAAGCCTGGGTCTACATTTCATAAACAACCAGATAGAAACTCATGACCAATATAAAGAAAACACCAAAATATATAATCCCCTCAGTGTGAGGCAGCAGATGCACAGACTTTTGCATTACCTCTAGCTGCAAGACTGCCAAGTCTAGGGTTATGGTAATTCATGAATCATCCTGCTGTTTCCCAACCTGAGAGAACCCTTATAACTCTGTAAGGAGCAAGTCATGCAACTTTCATCCACTAGGGGGTAAGACCCACCTGTCTTTTGAGCGGGAATCTAACCTTCTGAGGGCAGGGGAGAAAGAGAGAGATGGGGAAGGTTAGGACCGGGTCTGTTAGGCAAAATTGGTAAGGAGTGTTTTTCAACTATGATGGCATCAGCAAATCAATAATCAAATAGTTCAATCTCAAACATCTTTTGGGCTTTTTCTGAAATATTCTGACTTTACCAATGCAATGAATTACTAAGATATTACAAATATGTGGATATAACTTAACACCTGATGCCTTCCTAGTTCAGGTCATCAACACCATACTACACTGCCACATAAAAGGGGTTATGAGGGCTGCTACTATTTTTCATCTAGAATATATAGGACTAGCAAATAAAAAAAAATAAAAAATACATTATGAAATATGAAACCTTCATCAGTATTGACAAATCAGCAATAAAAGAGCCAACAGCCATGCACATATGAGTCTACTGATAGGTGGAAAATCTGCTTGATTTCACTGACTCATTACTAGTTTTTAATATGATTCCAATTCGGAACAAGAGAAAACCAAATATCATCTGACTTTATGAACCAGTTTAACCAAGCACTTCTCAAAATCATATGATAAAGAGACCATTAAAAAGGAATTCATACAAAAATTGAAAAGGAAGGCTGTATAGTTTATTCTGCTGCAGCTGCCGTAATGTGGTCTCACTTTGACAATCTTTCTCTTTTTATGCCAAATCAAGCATCTTATCTTTCAATCCTTAAGAAAATGGAGTAAAATTTTCCACTGCAGTAAATGCACTAAATCAAATTACATGTGAGACAATAGAACATACTAAATTGCAAGAACCAACACTGCAGCAACAAACAGAACCTTCCTGAGGGACAAATATACCACCACCAATCCCGAGCTGTTTGCAAAAGCCAAGAACGGGTATTCTGAACAGTGATTGGAAACATACACTAATACTTTTTGTATGTATTTTTTGTTGTCTTTTTTTTTTGAGATATCAGTGAATTCCAATTAAATATTTCTTTTAACAATTTACACTGACATAGAGGACAGCAAAAGAAAGAGTTGACCGAATAGAGGGAACTATAATTTGTCTACTATTTCACCGCTAGTAACACTTATTGTCTTGGAAAGCTGACAAAGTGTCATAGCTGCTATAAACAATGGGGAAGTGTGCTCAATTTAGGGAGTGTTTTAAAGTTAAATGTGCATTTAATCTTGTCTAATACACAAGAAGAATACACAAAATACAAGGCACACCTACTGAAGTCTTCTTTGCAGAGCCTTATGGACTGCAAATCTAGGAATAAAATCAATTGTTTATCATGAATGGAAAACCACTGAGAAGCATCATGGAAAACTGGGTGCGCACTACTATATTATTTAGTGTAGCTTTGATATTATGGGAATCAGAATGCAACCTGATTGCAACTTTGTATTTCTCTATTTCTATTACAGCTTTAAGGAGATTCGGAAAAGGTTTTAGCAAGTTTGGAAAAAGGTTCTATCAATGACTACTGAAGAATCAAAGTTGCGGAGCTTGTTACATATCTGAGTGCAGCTTGAGCTCATGGGAATCAAAGGTGAGTATAACCAAAAAAAGAATTGCTGTAAAACCAGTCACTTTGCCTGGGTTAGTGATTAGTTTTGTGATGCTCCATCTACGATCGAAAACGCTCGTACTAGTAGGTTGCTGACCTGCTGTTGCCGCCGAAGGTCAGCGATCTCTTTTCGATCGTCTTCCATTATCGTTTGCAATGAAGTGACCTCACGCTCCAATTTTTGTTTCTCTGCCACAACCTTGATAAAATCAAAAAGAGAAATTAGTCAGGGGGGGGGCGCTCTGCTGTTCTAATCACGTCCAAATAATTCTAATTAAATCCTCTAAAGGTCATTTGACCAGACAATACTCCAATAACTTTCAAAATACTGAAGGGTAATTCCTCGGTGAAAATGATAATCTCCCTTATACTGGAATGTGCATTTCTTAACAGAGGACATTTCTACAGACATACTTACATACTTACTCATTCTCACATGATATATCACATATACTGACTAGTAACAAAGAGAGTCAAAGAAAAAACTGACTGATCATAGTGTCATCTTCAAATGCCAGATCACTATGACAATAAATAATGCTGTCTCTACTGACACTGAAGACAATAATACAAACTGCTTTCCATAATATTATAACAGTATCCTAGGTTATACATCAACATGTATAAACATGAAACAGAAAAGGTTACACATATAAACAGATACAAAAAAGTAACAACTGAAACCCACAAGAATGCAAATACTAGGGTAAGGATCAGTCCCAGCTTTCCCAGTAGGCCTTTCTTCTCCTATTCCAACTTTTACTGATAATGCCTTCATGTTTCAACCGACAAAGGGAAGACACCAAAGTACCCATAGGAGGGGCAGGGTCAAGTGACTTCAGAGTAGATAAATGTCATGTTATCATACCTGCTCTAAACAATCAAATGAACAGCTGCTAACAAATCATCTAATCCATCTATACTTTAGTTTCATGACTACCAAAGGAAGGCTATGTATATTTGAGACTTGCCAAAGCACTATAGAAGTCTAAATTAGGCAACAATTTTGGTGTTGACTCTTTGTAGATGCAACCTTTCCTCAGTTACACATGTTTTAATATGAAGCTCATTCTAAACTGTAATTCCCTGAGAATGTAATATAAGGTATTTCTTACCTCACACCAATCAGTGCCACCCAAGATTGCTCATGATTTCCTGTAACCACAACTTCAGCCAATATTTCTGTTCTTTCTTTACCATTTTTATAAGTCAAAATATGTTTTCCTAAAATTTGGATTTGATGAAAATAACCCTATGTTGCAGTGGGTGTTGCATTGTATGCATTGTAACCTTTTACCGCTCTGGGAGGGTTACTGTGCTTATCATCCACTTAAATATTTGGACACCTACTAAATCTACTCCTGAAAATATATATATATATATATATATATATATATATATATATATATATATATATATATATATATATATATATATATATATATATATAAATTATAGGCCATATTTGAAGCATCAAAAGCAGTTAAATGTGACAATACAATCAACATTCTCTCTGTGCTGTATTAAAGCAAAGTCAGCAGCAACAAGACAAAAAGATAAACAATAAAGATACCATATATAGTCACATGCAATTCAGTAAGTGTTAGCAAGAATAATTAAAACCTGCAAGGATAGAATCAACACAATGCAGATATTATCTAAATACTGGATTTTCATGCAAAAAATATGACTTGTAAAAGTGGATTTAAACCCTATCTTCTATCATCAACGGCCCAATCCTTGGTATAGCCCTTGGATCACAGAATAGTAAAGACCACAGCTACAGTCTACTCCTCATCCTACCCACCTTAAAACCTGTATAACACCTAAATTTCATACACACCAAGACTACATCCAAAGGTTTCTTAACATAAATGCTGAAGACCCCCAAAGAATACATTCATAATTACCTCTTCATATTGCATTCTCAAATTCTGTAAAGCAGTATAAGCAGCTCTTTCCTGCTTTTTGTAGTAGTCGACTTCTTTCATGCAGTTCTCATATTTCCTCGTCAAATCCACATTTTGCCTGTAACAAGTATCAAAGGTATGTACATATATATGTGTGTGTGTATGTGTGTGTGTGTGTGTGTGTGTGTGTGTGTGTGTGTGTGTGTGTGTGTGTGTGTGTGTGTGTGTGTGTGTGTGTGTGTGTGTGTGTGTGTGTGTGTGTGTGTGTGTGTGTGTGTGTAGAAAAAAGACTATGGGAGGGCTAATATCTTATATGTTCTGATCTATTTATTTTCTAGAAAGGGGGGTAACAATAACCTGCAAAAGATTTCTCTCTCTAGTCAGTTAAAATCCAATCATATCTCCACATCCCCTAGGAAGAAAGAAAGAAAAAAAAATGCATACTTCAGGAGTCCCTGGACCTCAGCCATAGCTTTTTCACACTGCAGCTTGATGGATTCATAATCTCGAGGTGTTGATAAGCTTTTGTCACTCACTGATACTCCATGTTTGCTTAAAGTTCCTGCAAAAAGAAAATTAAAAAAATAATCAGTAATACATCAGTTTGCCTGTTAAGTTACATTAGGATATGTAACTACTTTTACACTGTCAACACATTTCTCATCCTTTACTAGCATTCACAGACCACTGGCACACAAAACAAACTCTCACTCACTCACTCACACACTCTCTCACTCTCACACTCTCACACTCTCTCACTCTCTCTCTCTCTCTCTGTGTGTGTGTGTGTGTGTGTGTGTGTGTGTGTGTGTGTGTGTGTGTGTGTGTGTGTGTGTGTGTGTGTGTGTGTGTGTGTTTTTGTTTGTTTGTTTTTGGGGTATCCAATGCAAGTCCTTATTTGATTACATAAAAGGGGTGGGGGGAGTCTAACCAAACAGAAACAAAATTATTTATTAAGCTTTTGCCTTGACATTTACACCATGTTATACTGTGAGAAGAGAAGAGAAGAGAAGAGAAGAGAAGAGAAGAGAAGAGAAGAGAAGAGAAGAGAAGAGAAGAGAAGAGAAGAGAAGAGAAGAGAAGAGAAGAGAAGAGAAGAGAAGAGAAGAGAAGAGAAGAGAAGAGAAGAGAAGAGAAGAGAGAGAAGAGAAGAGAGAGAAGAGAAGAGAAAGAAGAGAAGAGAAGAGAAAGAAGAGAAGAGAAGAGAGAGAAGAGAAGAGAGAGAAGAGAAGAGAGAGAAGAGAAGAGAAAGAAGAGAAGAGAAGAGAAGAGAAGAGAAGAGAGAGAAGAGAAGAGAGAGAAGAGAAGAGAAGAGAGAGAAGAGAAGAGAAGAGAGAGAAGAGAAGAGAAGAGAAGAGAGAGAAGAGAAGAGAGAGAAGAGAAGAGAGAGAAGAGAAGAGAGAGAAGAGAAGAGAGAGAAGAGAAGAGAAGAGAGAGAAGAGAAGAGAGAGAAGAGAAGAGAGAGAAGAGAAGAGAAAGAAGAGAAGAGAAGAGAAGAGAAGAGAAAAGAAGAGAAGAGAAGAGAGAGAAGAGAAGAGAAGAGAGAAAAGAGGAGAGAGAGAAGAGAAGAGAAGAGAAAGAAGAGGAGAGGAGAGAAGAGAAGAGAAGAGAAGAGAGAGAAGAGAAGAGAAGAGAAGAGAAGAGAAGAGAGAGAAGAAAAGAGAATAGAAGAGAAGAGAGAGAAAGAGAAGAGAAGAGAAGAGAAGAGAAGAGAAAAGAAGAGAAAAAAAAGGAAAGGAAAGAAAGAATGAAAGACAGAAAGATAGAGAGACAGAAAGACAGAGAAAAAGAAAAAAAGAATAAGAGAAATATATGTATATATTATATATATATGTGTGTGTGTGTGTGTGTGTGTGTGTGTGTGTGTGTGTCTGTGTGTGTGTGTGTGTGTGTGTGTGTGTGTGTGTGTGTGTGTGTGTGTGTGTGTGTGTGTGTGTGTGTGTGTGTGTGTGTGTGTGTGTGTGTGTGTGTGTGTGTGTGTATGTATGTATGTATGTATGTATGTATGTATGTATGTATGTATGTATGTATGTATCTGTGTATACGTGTATACGTGTATACGTGTATACGTGTATACGTGTATACGTGTATACGTGTATACGTGTATACGTGTATACGTGTATACGTGTATACGTGTATACGTGTATACGTGTATACGTGTATACATGTATATATGTATATATGTATATATGTATATGTGTATATATATATATATATATATATATATATATATATATATATATATATATATATATATATTCAAAAGCCTACTCCTATATAAATAGCTTTATATGCTTGAAATTAATATGGTATAATGACCTTGTTCGACACTTCAAATATACACAAGGTATTTTAGTGAAATCCTTTTAATTGTGCAATGTGAATTTTCAAATGTTCAGCTTCATTGCCACCCCTCTTTTTTATAGCAAAATTGCCCCCTTGTGATATATAAAAATTGCAACGTAAAATCAGTCAAACAAGTGTTGACATATAATGTGTATTTTCAGTGAAACTAGTTAAAAATGAAGAAGCCATGTGTAGGTATAAAACTTCTGAGTTTCTGAAGTTTTCACTAAACTTAAAACTCCTGCATACTGAACTTCAAGTAAGTGATATCATGACACTAAGTTCTTTCATTTTCATGTGTTGAATATTCATACTCTGTATATTATTTATTCACATACCATATATACATACTCATACATAACTTATGCAAAAGTATCACAATGTTTTTTCTTCTGGTTTTCTTTGTTTCTTTGATGGAAGACCTCACTTAAAAGAACTGTATGCATCTCTCTTACTCACCCACCACACACACATATATACAAACACACACACACACACACACACACACACACACACACACACACACACACACACACACACACACACACACACACACACACACACACACACACACATATATACACACACATATACACACACATATACACACACATATATACACACACATACACACATACATGCACGCACACACACATATGCACACATATATACACATACACACACATATATGCATACTTTATATATATATATATATATATATATATATATATATATATATATATATATATATATATATATATATATATGACAGATGGAAAGGTAATTATAGAGTCAAACCATCTGGAAAGCGATGGCAGCTCGTACCGTAGTTAGCAGGCTGGTCCGACTGACTGACGGCGTTGAGACGACTCACGGCATCATCCCTCTCACGGGTCACCTTCTTCAGCTCTTTCTTCATAATGTCTCGATCTGTTGTCACAATCTGCGAAAAGTGGAAGACGGGAAGTTAAACAACTGACCGTGCTATCGACTGAAACGCGTGATGATTTTTGCTCCTCTTCGTACTTTCCGATAAACCATGCTTGGCAAGAAGGCAAAATCTAATTTTCAACAGAAGCACGAATCTAGTTCCAAAGTAATCATCAGTGCGAACCTAGAACAATATGGCGCAATGCAACATTGCAGTACTTTGTGGACAGGCCATTCAGTCATATCTTTTCCTGTAATATTCCTGTGTTTCTGTTCCTTCGTGTCTTTTATCCATTTCATCATATCTTACCATTTCTTTTCATTGAATGAGTGAACGAATGAATGAATCAATTAATCAATCAACCAATTTCTTTCTTTCTTCTTCTCTTTCCTCCATCCCTTTATCTATCTCTTTTCATTCCCTCCTCCTCCCTCTCTCTCTCTCCCCCCCCTTTATCTTTATCTTTCTCTTCCCCCACCCTCTTCCCGCCCCCCTCTCTCTCCTTCTCTCCCCCTTTCTCTCACCTCTCCCTCGCTTGTGTCTGTGTGTGTGTCTGTCTGTGTGTGTGTCTGTCTGCCTGTGTGTCTTTATTCAAATCACAGTTGAAACATTATTAAGTAAGATCAACTCTGGCCTTGGCCTGACCTCATCTCCTCCCTCCCCCCCCCCTTTCTCCCCTTCTCCACGCCTTCCATCTCAGACTCAACTTACGAGGCTCCGAGAACATTCTAAACTGCATGGCATTACTAGCACGAGAAGGGAACAAGAGCAGCGATGGGGGAGAGAGAGGCAGAGGAGGCGAAGGGAGGAGAGAGACGGAGAGGGGAGAGGGGATGTGAGGAAAAGCGTGAGATTGATGTACTAAAGATGGTAATGAAATGAAAGGAAGAGGGAAAGGAGGAGGAGGAGGAGGAGGAGGAGGAGGAGGAGGAGGAGGAGGAGGAGGAGGAGGAGGAGGAGGAGGAGGAGGAGGAGGAGGAGGAGGAGGAGGGGGGGGGAGGAGAAGGAGGAGAAGGAGAAGGAGAAGGAGAAGGAGAAGAAGGAGAAGGAGAAGGAGAAGGAGAAGGAGAAGGAGAAGGAGAAGGAGAAGGAGAAGGAGAAGGAGAAGGAGAAGGAGAAGGAGAAGGAGAAGGAGAAGGAGAAGGAGAAGGAGAAGGAGAAGGAGAAGGAGAAGAAGAAGAAGAAGAAGAAGAAGAAGAAGAAGAAGAAGAAGAAGAAAGGGGGGGGGAGGAGGAAGGGGTGAACGTCAGTAACGAAAAGGTGACGAAAAGTTAAAAACTGGAGGAATTATATTAATATGCAACACAATTACACAGAGAAAGAAATGGGACACGGCAAGCGAGGCAGCGCGGCCGCTAGGGCCAAGCACGCCGCTCGCAGCCGGGCGTTGAG